GGGTGTCCTGGTATTGTTGGTTTCTTCTGGCGTTGCACTGGTGGCACTTAAAATTCCTAGAGCAGGGGTCAGAAAACGAAGAATAGAGGGTTGAGAAACCCCATCTTTAGGGGGATCTTTTTTTTTGTTACCATGCTTCCCCGCCATACTTTCCCGTCAATGAAGAGAAGAAAATAAGGAAGGAAAGGGGAAAAAAAGAGAAGAATAATAAGGTTTTGTATGAGGGGATTGTTTATAAGTACAAGTGTACTTACTTAATTTGCTGAGATTTGCAGTACAGTGTACACACTATCACTACAAAGCCGGAGCTGGTTCACAAGGTGTTTCTCGCTCGAGATACTAGTATGAACTGAAATTATTGTATTATTAGTAAACTTTAAACCTCTGATCCTGAGAAAAGATGGCAATGCCCGATTCACGCGGACCCTTAAAAGTTTTGTCTGTTCAAGTAGGAATTTTGAAAACTGATTATTTTCAATTGTGTTTTCTCTACAAAAGCAAATAGATTATCAAGTACAATAGGTGGCAACAGAGAAATGAACCAATTATACACGACGTCACAAGGGTCAAATATAACAAGAAAAACGAAATTTTCTCACATTAGTTGACATGTTTTTCAAGATTAAATAAAAAATTGTAAAAACAGAAAATAAAGCATACATTTAGTTGCGCTCATTTTACTGTAAGATAAGCACTTTATTAGGAAACTATTACTATTATCAGTAGTTTTGTCGGACACAAAAACTGAATTGACACTTGTTACGTCATAATACAGCTGTACTGAGAGTGTACAAATTCTACGTTGCCAACTATTGTGCTAGAATCTATTTGTACAAAAGTAACTTGCGCATTTCTAATGAAGGAAACATGGAGGAATTATCAGAAATAAACGCTTTCATACTTAGCAAAGCGACAATATCTTTTAAATATTGATCAGATAATTGTTTCAAGGACACCGTAAGAAATCGGGCATTGCAATCTCTGCATGAAGGGTCACTTGAAATAACGCTTGATCAGTCCAAATCGGTCAGGCGCTCCCTAATTACTCCTTGATATAAACATTAAAAAAAACAGCACGCTTTATTTCAATAAATCACTTTTACAAAATAGAATATGTAAGTTAGTGGAAAACCCAAAGACAAGGAATTGCGTAATTTAAAATCTCCTGAAGCTTGATGCATAATTTTCACAGCTGTACTGTAGCTGGGTCTATCTGTAACGATTTCAATTTATCAGGCTTAACAAACAAAAGTTCAAACCACATGTAAAGGGATTATGAGAAGTTTTTACTCTCTGGAATGAATAATTGACTTATATCTAACTAGCTTGGGAACCCAGCGTTGCCCAGGGTTGTCATAGTTAGTCTCACCGTTTACCCGCGCTTCGACATAAATTAAGATCTTAGCAATTGTTCTTTTAAAAGTGGACCCACTCAACTTAGAATATTTAAATCAAGCTAAGAACATTCCCGTGGCTCTTCCGCGTTCCCCAATCTGCAGTGATGATTTAAAAATATCTTTTATCAAAAATAAAAATTATTACACCGTGTTTTATATTTTATTTGATAATTCTCATATGCAAATTTTATTCTATGACTTTTCACTAGTGACTCACTTTTTAAGGCTCTTTTTTCACAATTTCATCTATCATTTATTTGGTTTTTATCGCTCGAAACTTTCCTGGATTACAGGCTTTAAAACTAACGTCATCATAATTGTATTCACTCTCTATATATTTCATTGCTATTTTCAATTTAATCATAAAAAAAGGCTTGTAGATATTGACATGTTTACATTACCACGTGTAAAATATGCATCTGTTTTATTTTTAGGGTTTATACAAAACATTTAATGTTTTGAATCTTTATAGCTTTGCATAAGAGTTAAGAATTTAATAGCAATGTTCGCTAAAATGAAAGAAGGCATAGAAAACCACTTTTATTATTTATAATTAAGAATAGCATGTCAATGTGGCCATCCATCTTTATTTGTAGATAATAATTATTCAAGCCCGCGATTTAAAAACTGCGGCTCGAGTCGTAATTCCTTAAACCCGACTTTAAGATCCAATCTTCGACCCAACTCTGACGACGTGATTGACAGCTGCAAGATCTTCGGCTCGACTTAAAACCGGCCTTGGTTGGTTTTAGTGGAGAATAAGGCTCAATGTTGAAAATTGATTTCATAAAAACCCGGAATGCGTCAAATCCTACTACGAAAATCCGCCAAATAGAACATTAAACCGTTTTTTTAAACTCAACTCTGTGGAAAATAAGATGCAGCTTGAATCCGAAAGCTCATGCCGGAAATAAGGTCCAACGACAGCTTAGACCCGAGCCGGATTTTCCCGAATTTTTTAAATCGCTGGCACAGAAAGCATCTCTCGAAAATGAAAGCGGGTCCAGATCTATGTTTATGATTTTAATTGTTTCTTGAACAATATTTAGAATTAAAAGAGAGATTTTTAAATATACGATCCAGAGTTTTAAGCCAAACGGAAGCATTGAACCAACAAAAAGTAAAAAAAAATCCCTTTTATAGTTAAAACTATACAGTCTTGACCCCTTTTTTGAGTCTTTTTTCAATGATTAAATTGGCTGATCCCGTTTTTTGGGAACCCTGTATATATTTAGCGATTGTAATTGTTTTTTTTTACGGTTCGTTTAAATTTTTGTCAACTAACCAATTGTAAAAATTTTTGTTTTGACATTTCATCCGATTATTAAATAATTTTAAAAGGCTTACGTTGAATATTTAGATTTTTAGGGAAATTCTTGAAAAATAATGCCAAAAAACAATACCAAAACAATATGCCTATCCATAGTACTGGGCTGCTAGACTTGTTAGATAATAATTTAAATAGTTTAAACATCAATCATCGTCTAAACACTGAAAACTGAATAGTTTTAAATTCTAAGAAATCTTAATTTTCAACAAGATGTCAGCATGTCCCACACTTGATACTGAGGGATTTGTACAGTACAGGGTGTTCCCCAATAAACATATAAATTAAGAGACGAATTCGAAATCATCTTCGTTCAGAATAAGCGCTGTACTATCTTATTTAATGGACATAATACAGTTACATATAAAAAGTAAATATATGAAGTTGTAATCTCTGTTTGTCTGTCTGTTTGTTTGTCCGATCATAACTCAGGAACCCCTGGACCGATTTGCTTCAAGTTTTGATTGGGGAGACTCGGGAGACCCACGGGAGTATTCTTAAATTCTAAGTTGAGTGGGTCGACTTTAATAACAAAAATTCAATTTCCCGGTAAAATCGTTTAAGTGCGGGTAAACGGCGGGAGTAACTTATGGTAACCTTGGCAGAGCTGGATTCCCAAGCTAGTACGGTATAAGATTGTTTTACATTCTAAATGATGTTTCTATAACATTTCTGCAAGATAAACAGGGAAGAGTAACAACTTTACTGTTTTTGTATTCGTCATTTTTTAATTAACAAAGTCACGGGCAGCCGTATTTGAATTTCCGAGCCGGGTCAACCTTTCCGATCCCAGTTTGTACTGTACCTAGCTCTTAGGACAGAACTAGCCGGTGCAACATGGTTGACACGGTCAGACTTAATGCTTCATATTGATTATATTTACTTTTACTAAAGGGCCAGAGGTGCGTGAAGTTTTTCTAGTAGGCTTTGCCCTACTAGGTCAAAAACTCATTTACAAAGACGATATCAAAATCGTCATTCAATTCTCATGTTTATTTGGGACACCCTGTACATGTTTATTTGGGACACCCTGTACATGATCAACAAATATAAACATCAAGAAGCAGGGGCGTACAAGAGCATTGTGTAGGGAGGGCACTGACAGTGGCACGCGTAAAGGATCCCCCCCCCCCTACGCGTGCCACTGTTAGAAAGACACACTATATTTTGCAAATCCCCATGTGTTAACCATTTCAACATACAATTTTAGACATCAAAACCAGTTGCCGGTGATTATTATTGTAATTTAATTTCAAAAATATTAAAAATTATCTATTTCTCAAATAAAATTTTAAATGAAGACGACATTTGAGAGGAAATAACTTTGTTTGGAGTTTTCCCTTTTAATAACTTAATTAATAGTTTAAGTATTTTAATTACTAATCTTTCTTGTTGTATACAGTGAAACCCTAAACGAATACATCGGAAGAATTTATCAAATGTCGTCTTGACAATTTTTCAATGAGTTTTATAATATATTACGTAAATTTCAGTATTTGCGAAAATAAATAAATAGCCATGAATCCTTAAGTCTAAAATCCGTAAAAACCTAGATTTTAGCTCCGACATAACTTGTGCTGCTGCTGCTTAGCCTCAACATGAAGATCTCCGACTATGATGAATTAATCCTAGTCGATCCTATACAAACGTTTCGTTCTCACAAATCAAAGCTTGACATATTAAAGGTTGCAAAGATATAAGGGTTTGATAATAAGAAGTTGTGGCGAGTTCAGTTTCTTACTGTATACCATCTGAAAACTGAAACATTAAATGTACATATTTCTTTACTGTACAATACAATTTTTTTTTTAACTTCTCCCGCAAAAATCATTTCTACGTACAGCTTTAAACCTTTTTTCTCTTAGAAGTCTGTAAGTAAATAATTTACAACGACTGTACTATACAGTGTACACTGTACAGTACAGCTTTACACTGTACAGTGCATAAAATAAATTCTAAAAAATATTTACTAATAACTGTTATTTCATGCTTACAATAAATCAACAAAAATTGTTCTACATCATTTTCAAATCTATCTATCTATCTATCTATCTATCTATCTATCTTTCTATCTATCTATCTATCTATCTATCTTTATTTATCTATATTTTATCTGTCCTTTATTAATATAGCTTTCTTTTATCGTGCTATTTTCCTTTTTCCAGAAGATTGAGATAAAGTAGAAAATGTACACAATTTTAGGAATCATGACAACAAACTTCGTAATAAATTTATATTGGGGAGAGGGGGATAGATAATAAAATATACGCAAAAAAATTGTCAAAGAAGACCCAACCATTTCAGCGTGGAGCTGGTTTTTTGCCTTACATTAAAACCACCCTTGAGCAGTTTGTCTTATTTATTTATTTTTTTATTTAACCGTAAATTGTTATTAAGAGAATGATTAACATTAGTTTTTACATTTTTTATGTGAAATATTTTGTTCGTTCCTTGTCAAGTGTATAGGATCGATAAACTCTTCCACATTGTTTGGACTACGGAGGGGAAAATATATTTCTCTAAAAACTCGACAAAATTTGAGTTTTTTTTTTCACACCAAAAAGTTTGGTGAAGAAAAGAAAAAATTACAAATAAAACCACTCAGGAATTTTCTTGCAAGGTTTCAATTTAAGGCTAAAACAAACTCCAAGGAAGAGTTCATGGATCTTCTTTAATGTAGTATAATAAAACAAGACATTCGTATAGAATGTTGTCTTTAGCCGGCCAAAAAGGCTGGACAGATTGGGCTGACACTCATGGGTGGCCGGGGGTGTTATAGGCTAAATAATTTGAATTTTTTTTTGACAATTTAAAAAAAAAATTTTCACGGGTAACGCCGGGCCCTTCAGCTAGTGTTGTATAAAACAATTTTTTTATGTAAGAGTATATCCAGCTCAATTCAATTTTAAGAAGAGTATATCCAGCTCAATTCAATTTTAAGAAGAGTATATCCAGCTCAATTCAATTTTAAGAAGAGTATATCCAGCTCAATTCAATTTTAAGTCACAACTTTAGTGTTTAGGATTAAGCAATGATTTCCATCTTCAACAGATCTACGGATTCATTTTTTTCTCTTTGATATCCCTTTAATTCGTACTCTCATACCCTCATGCAGAGATAAGTTTATTTAAAAAAATAAACTTCAATCAGAATATGTTGTTCAGTTAGATGCAGAGACGGCAAATTATTTAGGAAAAAACATATACTTCATATAGCTTCTTTACACACAATTACAACGGATTCAAGATAATCTAGATATATAAATAGATTCTAACAACCGTTAATCAAAGATGTAGGGACTAGGGGCGCCTCGAGCCCGCCCATGTTTTGGTCTGTTGCTCTGATTCGTGTTTAAAGTACCCATTTTTTTTAGAGTTTTCACGGAAAATACCAGTTTTCCGTCATATTTCCGAAGTTACGATGACTTAAGGACTTCTCTCTAAAAAATTACTTAACCCTATTCCCGCTGGGGGGGGTCAATTTGACCCCCCCCCTGTAGTTTTTTTTACATAACTCAAAAAGTATTGGTCTGAGGCTGTTGAAATTTTCTGACTTTTCCTACATACCCAAAGCCCTCCCTTTAGGCCTAAAACCGGGCTTTAATACTAACTGCCTGAGTCCTCAGGCACACTGCCTGAATGAATGCTTTTTCCTGTAACAAACTAAATCTTTGTTTTGACCCACTTTCACTTGTCAGATTTTGATAAAATTTAGCTTTTTGGAAAGCCTATGACATAAGGAAACGGATTGCACAAGTTTTGCGAAAAAAAATTGCAAATTTTTTGCAAACAACCTGTCAAAGGAAATTTGCACATTTTTAGTTTTTCTTGATTAAAAATCAGGTTATTTAAAATTTTGCAAACATTTTTTGCATATTTGAAATGGCATGGTCAAGGGCTTTTCAAAGATGTATAATTTTTCATTTTTTGGGCAAATTTTTTTTTGCAAACATTTTCACTATATAACTGGATTTTGCGATAAAAAATTCAATTTTTGCAAATTTGCAAATTTTTTTGCAGATTCTAAAAATAGAGCACAAGAGCTTTCCAATAATGTATCATTTGTCATATTTGGACATCAAACATGGGATTTAGAGGGGGGGGGGGTCAAATTGACCCCCCCCCAGCGTATCCTGGTTTTCAAGTACCCCAGCGGGGATAGGGTTAAGCGACCGAACCTTATTTGACTAAAAGTATTAGATTGCAACCCCCCACTTGATACCCCATTGTGGGGCGTGTTGTCATGATACAATTATTTAGTATCCTGTATCCTTCTCCTGTGTGTATCCAGTGTATCCTGGAGTTTATATATTGTGGATACAAGTGAATCTAAATATACAAAGGAACCACATTCAAAACTTGGATATTTTCATATTTTTCTAACAAAAAATAATTTTCTTGGTGTAAAAAGAAAGCTACAGGAGCTCATGATACTCAGTTACAAAGTTACAGTCAATCCTAATTTTAATGGTTTAAGAATTTCTTAATATTTTTTTAAGCATCATGCTGAATTTTAGCCTTTTTCCCCGACAGTTCATTCTTTTTAATGCTAAAGCTATGTGCCTTGGGAAGATGGAGGGGGTGGGGGGGGGGGATGATGGAATACCTGTTTGCCACGGAATTCTTTAAGCTTTTTTTCATTGATACATTTTTATACGAAATAATTTTTTTTCTTTTTATTTTAGAAGAGGATCGTAGAGTATGATTTTGTAAACAAACCCAAGAGGGGGAGTAATTCTTGTAAATTCTCCTGTGTCCTTGATTTAGAAGAGCGGAGGGAAGGGGGAGGTCATCCAGTTTAAAAGGAAATAATTTGTGTTTTTAATAAATCAGCTAAATAAAATATATTGAAAAGATTCTGGAAAAAAAACTCTTAATTTGTTCTGTGAACTGCATTTTTATCAAAAGTGAAAAGCAGACTTTTTTCCATTTTACTTTTTTAGATTTTGGAAAATCAACTTTACAATTTTTTCAACAATTAAAGAGTTATAAATCTCTTTAATGAGCGTAATTAACGTTTCACCTTATCTTATAATTGAGGTTCATATGCAGGGGCAGATACCTTCCGAAATCAGGATTGTCTCGAAATTGACCAAAAATTAAAATTGAGCTGAGATCAAAAAGAAAATGACTCTGTAAATCGTTTATGGCACTTTTTAAATTAAATACTCTGAAAATTACTTTTGAGTTTGACACTTTTAAATCCCAAAGATTAAAAAGCTTGAGTTTTAACAAATGTGTGTTGTATCCCAGGAGGTTCGAATAGTATTTGAAAATTTGACCTTGGATGACCAGAACGAAGTTACAATGTCTCAAGGATGGAATTTTACTAGATGCAGGAAATCAACAAATATAGTCTTAATAGTGCTTTAATGTAAGCTTTTTATTGTCATCGTTTTAGTGACTGAATCCATTCTTTTCGCTATTTTTCTGTGTTTTTTTTTTCGGCGAAAAACGTGATCAAAAATAATGGGTCTTTTCTGGGGTCATGTGAGTTACCGCAAAAAAAAAGAGAGTCTGACCGGTTCAGCCATTTTGACGTTAATTGTATACATACAAATTGACAGACAGGAAACAGAAAGAAATACCAACAAGGATTGTATATAAATTGGTATGGCCATTTTTTAAAACCAATTTATGACAAATCAATAACAACTGTAAAAAAGCTTTAGATATATGAAAACAAATTTTGAAGATATTTTTGTGTCTGCTAAACATAATAAAGCTGGCATTGTATATTTGTTGTATATTATACAGTGTGTTTGACATAGAACGATTGAGCATGAAAGCTCCAAATCTAGGAAACCAATATCTTTCAAATTTAAACCTCATGGGCTAAAATTATTAGTTGAACCAATTTCTCCTGATTGTTAAAGAGACTGTCAGCGAAATTTCAAGTGAACCTCAATACAAATATGGCGATGTCTAATTCACAGGAAAACTGTTAAATACATTGTCTGATCAAGTAACTATTAGATATCAATGTGTATAACTTTCAAAACGGACTGTGTTTAATTGTGGTTTAAAAAATGACTTGCGCATTTCTACTCCCGGAAAACATGCATGAGTTATAAAAATAAACACTTTTTAACCGATAAAAACGACAATATCTTTCACATTTTTGATTAGATAACGTTTTCCATGGTATCATTGTGAATCTTTGTTTGGAGTGCCACATAAAATTACGTTTACAGTCCCTTTAAATAAAAGAATTCTGATTTCTTTCCATCTCTAAGCCCGTCCTCAGACAGAAAAGTAAAACAATTTCAGTTTAATTTCAAGAAAACCATCAAAATATATTGTCTAAGCAGTTTTAAATAATCCTTCATGCAGAAATGTCTATCACCAATATGAAACTAAAGTGCAAGTTTACCAGACCAGTTTAAAGCATTTTGATTCTCTACAGTATTTTAGGAATCAACAAAGCGATAAAAATCGTCGTTTCTCAGCAGGTTTAATGGGTACCATTGAGAATCGGCCATGCCACTCAAATGCAGGGTCACTTGAGAGCACGTCCACGTTTTCCTTTTTAACCAATCAATCAATCAACTTGGTGATCAATCAGTCCCACACAGGACTAAGCAGAGTGAGCAGCATTCGGTTTCTTCTATTTGAAATCAAACGAGTTTTGGTTTTTAATTCAATAATCATTTACTTTAAGGATTTGTTTATGGTATACATTTTCATTCAAGATGCATATGCCAACAAATTTAATAGAAAAGGCTAACAAGTTATGTTGAATGGGTCAAATTGTGATCGAAAGTCACAGCTTTCCGGAATATTGACAGAACCGTTAAATCCACGTTACGTCATAAAGCAACTATGAAATAATGTTGTGAATGATTGATGAAACTGTTTTCTTTGAAAGTTGTCTAAAACTAACGGTGAGAACCCCTTTAGGAACCATTGAAGGAAATCTGAAAGAAACGAAAAATACTGATATTTCATCAAATAAGTTTTAATAAGCTAATTAAACAACGTACAAGTCAGAGAACATTTACTGCTCTTTTTAAAATTTTGTTTACAATTTTTAATTTAAAAAATAAATTGTATAAAAATGGTACTGCTGTGAATCGGAAATGCCACTTTACAAATTGAGGGTCACTTGTAATTACGCCTACAGTACCTTTAATAAATATAATTACGCCTACAGTCCCTTTAATAAATAAATTACACCTTGAGTCCCTTTAATAAATATAATTACACCTACAGTCCCTTTAATAAAAATAATTACACCTACAGTCTCTTTAATAAAAACAATTACACCTACAGTCCCTTTAATAAATATAATTACACCTACAGTCCCATTAATAAATATAATACACCTACAGTCCCTTTAATAAAAATAATTACACCTACAGTCTCTTTAATAAAAACAATTACACCTACAGTCCCTTTAATAAATATAATTACACCTACAGTCCCATTAATAAATATAATTACACCTACAGTCCCTTTAATAAATATAATTACGCCTACAGTCCTTTTAATAAATATAATTACACCTACAGTCCCTTTAATAAATATAATTACGCCTGGAGTCTCTTTAATAAATATAATTACGCCTGGAGTCCCTTTAATAAATGTAATTACGCCCGGAGTCCCTTTAATAAATAACTTTATTCTGAGAAAAGTTCTATTTTAAAATTTCTTAGAAGAACAATTAATTGAATGAGTGCATGCACGGGAAAGAACGGAAGGAATTATTTATTGAAGAATGAAGAATGAAGAATGAAGAATGAAGAATGAAGAATGAAGAATGAAGAATGAAGGGGGGAAATTAATGGTTTGGAAATCCTGAATTGCTTATTCAGTCAAGTGTTTAAAAATAAACAATTTTTTAAAGACACTGTTCACGTAATTTTTAAGTAACATTGCATTTAAAAACATACATGCCCGATACACCGTACAAATCTTTGTTTAACAAAAATTATAAAAATATTTCGTTTTTATTTAAAAAAAATGGTTGAAGCCAAAAAACTCAATTTATAGAAGATTTAGGGGTTCCATTTGGAATCAGTCACTTGAAAGTGCGTCTACGTAGTCCTTTAAAAAAGGGTTGTTAGCGAAAAATATAGTGAAGTATCTTGATGTTAAGTTTCCTTTCAATATGCTTAATCGGAGGTTTGTTGTAAAGGAATTGAGTCTTTGCCACAAACTTCTAATCGAAACGTATTTCTTTTTCTGAAAGAAACATCAAATAAATACTATACTTTTCATAGAACTTGATTTAAACATGTTTCTTTTTTGTGTTCTGGATTTCATATCAGCTAAGACAAATTTTTCAATATTTTTTCTTTTTTGTTAATACATGTGTACTATTGTTCTTTCTTTTAGAATAAATAAAAGTCTAATGGTTCCATTTTGATGACGCACATTCTACATAAGAATAAATAATTCATACTAATCCTATAAATAAATCTGAGTTAACGTCAGACATTCATTAATAATATATTTAGATGGTGGGTCACTTTTCTGTCTACGGGTTTGGAAAGAACTGTTTACTTACATCTAAGTCTAAATGTATAATCCTTAAATCTTTGCAACCTTGTAATGTTAACTTTTGCTATTTCAAACTTTGGCTGTATCTCACATAAATCACAGTTTAAAAAATGTCTTCCTAATCAGATTGCAAGAATATGAGAATTAGAAAATTTAAGTTTTAGGCGAGTAAAATTAAAACATTTAAACAAAACTTAATTCAAAACCTTGCATACCTAACCTTGACTCATAAAATGGACCCAAAGACCTATTTTCCAGGGAGAGGAAGGGGGGGGGGGAACCTAATGAATTTAATTTTTTGAAAGATGGCTTTGGTTTTAGTTTCAGCTTTAAACCTGAGTTCTGAAGCTTGGAAGGATTTTAGGTTCCTAGAACCTAGATACACTATGCTGGTAAGGATTAAGGGTTCCTAGAACCTAGATACACTATGCTGGTAAGGATTAAAGGTTCCTAGAACCTAGATACACTATGCTGGTAAGGATTAAATGTTCCTAGAACCTAGATACACTATGCTGGTAAGGATTAAAGGTTCCTAGAACCTAGATACACTATGCTGTTCCTAGAACCTAGATACACTATGCTGGTAAGGATTAAAGGTTCCTAGAACCTAGATACACTATGCTGGTCAGGATTAAAAAGACTGTTCTCGGTTTAGAAAACTAAAACTACTCTCATGCTACATCTTATTCAAGTTGTTACTAGAGCTGGTCACGTTCAACCAGTTTAAGGTTGCTTTCGTGTTTTAGCTATTAACGGATAATTCCAGTTATTTACTGTTCAAAAATTATCCCAACTTTAGTAACGGCGTAAACGCAATGTATTTCAGAAATTGTGAGCGGTGGCGGACCTTAACGAGTTGGTAACGATTATTTCATGATAAAATAACTGGAAAAATCCGTAAAAATATTTAATACAAATAACTTACTTTTTAATTTGTAAGTTTTATTCAATTTTAAAATTGAAAAATTATCTAAATTCACCGGTATTTAAAACACATTCGTTCGATATGTTTTATTTTGCTTAACTTCAGGTTATATCAGTTGAAAAAACGTTTTAAAATTAACGGTTAATTTTCAAAAACTTGCTGTTCGTTAACGGAACTTTGCCCAGCTCTAGTTGTTACTTCCACCTACAAATGTCGCCATATTGATCTCTTCCATATGTTTAGGGTCTACATTGGGGTTACATTTCCAGAAAGTTCAATATTCCACAGGACTCCAGGTACATGTCTACACTGTAGATTTTCTAGTAACATTTGTAACATTTAAATGTTGCCTATCAAGCCACCGTTTCTTCAACGTAATTGTATAACTCAAAATTTTTCGGATTTTTCTATTATGTATTAACATATTGATGGATTTCTAAAATATCAACATTTTTTGTTTAGACCGTCGATAAATCTAAATTTAAGTTGCCTCAACTTTTTTTGTCACAATCGTAGGGTCATGTAGACTTAGTCCACTACTTCTTGATCATTATACAGGGTGTCCCAATAAACATGGGAATTCAGTGACGGATTCGATATCGTCGTTGCTATGAATTAACATTTTAATACCTAATTTCAAAAGCCATAATATTAATATGTCTGCTAGAATTTATTTTATGAAAACGGTAAATGGCTAGCTGTAAAGATGTGTCTATAATGTTTTTGCAAGATAAACAGTGATTACGGACAAGTTTACTCTGTTTTTATTTCTTGTTCTACTAAGAACAACCGTATGCAGTCTAAACAAAGCAGATGAAAATCTTACGGATTAAATCAAAGAATTATTTATAAAGACGATATCGAATTCGTCACTGAATTCCCATGTTTATTGGGACACCCTGTAAAATACAAATTCAGAAATTGGATAAAGAATGATATCTTATAGAGTATCGACGATTGACGATGGTCGATATTCTTATTTTTTTTTAGTATGCAAGTGTCCTTTACAATATTACTAGATGGATTCAATAGTTCAACTTCTTCGAATCCTTTTCTATCAACAAACATTGATTTTAAGGTGAAGTTTATTCATGTACAGCTTTTTTCGCGAAATTTTGCATTGTCTGTTTCGCTTAAAGAAGCGAACATTTATGCAAATTTTTGCGAAAATGTCGCAAATTTTTTTTCTTCAGGGAATTCCGCATTGTTTTTGCTCCCTTTCCGAAATTTCGTTTTCGCGAAAAAGTTTGCAAAATACGTAAAAAAATTTTCGCATTTTTTTCCTGACGGGCCGTGTCCATTAATTTTGACAATTTTTAGACAGCTTTAACTCGGTCAGTTTTTGGAATTTTAAAATCTGTCTAAACGTTTGAGCAACTGTATTATTAGTACGAAAAAATCTGCGAAACGTGTTGCAGAAAGTACTAAAATTCAGTTTATTCATACACGTTATTTCAGTCTATTTCTTCACGAGTAACCGCGTATATTTTAAACCGTTTTTAGAAAAATTCATTTTATTTTGTTGGCTCCATTTTTTGAGTTTTAGAGGACATTACGCAAAAAATATGAATTCTCTCAATCTACGAATTCTACAGTAACAATAGCTAGCTAAGAATACTTGGGCGGTAGCTCACGGTTTCATTCAGCGTAGCTCATCTTCCCTTGGCAAATTGAAAAAAAGTTAATGGAATCAGCTGTTCCTGGCCAGGAAGTTGAGAATGTAAGCCGGAAGTGCGTCATTTAGACAAGGAATAGAGTAGCAGACATTTTGACGAGCTTTTATAGTAGAGAGAATTGATATATTATATCGTATAGAGAAACTAAATGTTTTTCATTAACGACCAATTTATTTAATTTCTTGCGCCTAAGCAAACAAATAAAAGCAACGTTTTTTTCTTGCTTAGCTGTCTGTCCTGAACGGCAGCGGGTTAACAATGGATTCAGTATCTCTGAAGGATTTGAACCCGACAAACCTTGAGTGGAGATCATACGAAGCTACTTTTAGGAATTAAAAACCAGAAATTATATTTCAAATCAATATTTTTTTTAACCCGATGTAACCTTTGTAATTAAAAAAGTCAAAAGAAACAATTTTTAGTTGTTTTTTCTTTAGTTGTTTACTTTTTTTTATAGATCATGATTTGATAAGAAGTCCGGAAAAGCAAAATTCAGTTTTATGAAAAAAAATATGATCTGGGTGAATCTTATGCTAAGCTTTTATCCAGACTTAGCCAGTATGTTTTTGTTCAGTAGACAGTTCCATTCAAGGTTAAGACGCGCTATTCACTTTACTCTACATTTACAGTTGTTATCGTATTTGGGTTAGCCCAGACGAGTTTCAGGAATTGAGCTTCGTGACTTTATCTTGAATAAAAAAAATAGAGTTTTAATGTGCTTCGCACCTCCTTTTCGATTAAAAAATTTAGTGTTTAAATGATACTTTTTAAAAAGCCATCTTTTCTTCGTAATTGTAAAACTACATTTTTGGCCCATTTTTCTTTTAAAATTAGTACATTTTTACTACTAGAAATGTCGACATTTTTTACGCGAAAATCTTTTTTTAATTTTGAATCACAGACAAATTGAATAAGTAACAAATTTAAGATCCGAAGCTTTGAAAAATATCTATATAAATTTGAAATTAATTATTTTCAATACTTCTAGATTATATAAGTTATGGCCCCACTCTTTTACTATCAAGTTTATGTTTTTAAAAATATCTTTATTCAACATGTGTATGCACTTTATAATCTTCATATTCATAATTATATAATCTGTGACGTCTTTTGTGAGTCGCAGGTAAAACGGGTGCGGGTTGCCTTCCCCCCCCCCATCGTGGGAGGTGAGAGGGGGGGGGGGAGAATTATATAGATTAAATACCAAGTCACTCACCCGAATCCATAGTACTCATAAATAATTAAGATTAATGACTATAAGACCGATGGTGACACATAATTAGTACCCAGAGCATGTATTTTCTAACCTGAAACCAATTTTCTAATATTAAAGGGTCTGTACACTTAATTATAAGCGACCCTCCTTGCAAAGCGGGCCAGGGGTGATACCCTATTGTATCCTTGAAACCTTGATCTGATCAATAATGTGGAAGATATTGTCGGTTTTCTTGGTTAAAAAGTGTTTTATTCCGATAATTTCTAAATGATTTTCTGCAATAGAAATCATAAAATTATAAACATTAATATCTAACTTATAATTGATTAAAAAAAGAGGTTAAGGGTGCAATTGGGAATCTTTGCAAATTAATTATATTTTATAACCTTACAGAAGTTATGTTTTATAACCTTGAAGAAATTATATTTTATAATCTTAAAGAAATTATATTTTCTAACCTTAAAAAAACTATATTTTATAATCTTAAAGAAATTATATTTTATAACCTTAAAGAAATTATACATTATTACTTGATAGAAATCATATTTTATAACCTTAAAGAAATTATATTTTATAGTCTTAAAGAAATTATATATTTAGCCTTAGAAACTATATTTTATAACCTTAAAGAAATTATATATTCTAACCTTAAAGAAATCATGTTAAAGAAACTATTTTTTATGACCTTTAAGAAATTATATTTTATAATCTTAAAGAAATTTCATTTTATGAACTTAAAGAAATTATATTTTATAACCTTAAAGAAATTACATATATGGCGATGTCTA